ATTGTTATATAATAAATAATAATATATATATATATATTTTTCAATTTTCTTTGCGGGACCCAGTCCCTTGTTTAGGAGGAGATCTGAAGCAAGTAGGTTTCAAAATCTGTACTTGTGGGATTCCCTCCAAATAAACCATCCCCGATACCTAAATGCATCACCCCCTGCCTTGACTTAGAAAAGTACCTACCTCGGCCATGCGATGTTTCTGAAAACGTTCCCCGGGTCTCAGCTTTTCTTCGATTTCGTCCGCCTCCCTCATCATCATGGCATTCCACTCTGCCTTGTACTTACCCGTGGAGTCGAGAGACGGTCGGACTCCATCTGACGGCGTATCTTATGCAACCCTCCCGTCTGTCCAGCCGTCTGTCGCTAAAACGTGGCCTATAGCTTCCCAACCGGAAAGCTCGCTTTGAAAAACTTACAAAGCTCTGGTTTACATGCGGGCAGAACTGTGATAAGCAGGGTGCAAGCTCTGTGCTGACAAGAGTTGAGGGGGGAACCAAAGCCAAAGTCAATATTCTTCTTGATAAAAAAACAAAGCCAGCCCCGAGCTTGCAAACCTCCATCGCCTACGACCCAAACGGGATGACAAGGCAACGTCTACGATTCCTAATGAAAACGCAAGACACGCACGCGGACGCTTTCTCTCCAAAGAACTCACGCCAACGCCACACGCTGGCACGGAACTCTCTGTGTATTGAAAGCAGAAAACAGTATTAAAAAAAAAATAAATAAAAGTGTGTAAGTAAAACGGGGTTGTAGGGTTCTTCAGATGTAATATTTTACTGGTACTATTTATTTATAAATAGGAATTCTAATTAAGTAATAACATGAAATGGAATCCAGCGTGGGAGCTGGCTGAGAGCTTTTAATTTTATTGATACTAGAAACCAAGTTTTTTTTTTTTTTTTTCCTTTATTGAATGTGCTTTGCTTTTTTTTTTTTTTTTATTAAAAAAAAAAACAAAAAACAAAAAAAAAAACCTTTTTTAACTGACCCTAATAAAGAGAACAGGGTAATGTGTGAGGCTGGATACGTCCAAGTACATGAGAGAGAGTGTGAGTATGTTCGTACGTGAATGTCTTCCTGCGGTTATGTCTTTGTATGTTGCTAAGGGGGGGGAGGGTGAGAATTAAGTACTCATTCCTTATATTTGTGTGCCAATTAATGCCTAATAAATACCATGTGCTTAAAAAAGGACAAGGGGCTTGAACACCAATTATTTTTTCCTGCTCTTTGTACCGAATGACTGGAGGGGACATGAGGTGGAGGACAGGAAAAGGATAGTCTTCCGTGGGAATGTTCCAGCCCATCTCTGTCCCCCACTGACCTCAGAATGCCTTGTCTTGAGCTGAATGGAGCTGACTCTATTTACCCGGGGAGTTGATGTGTCTCACATGACATTATTTGTTTTCATGGAATTGGTGTTGGGATTGGAAGAGAACAATCTTTAGGAATCCCACCGGGTCCGAAAATGGTATTGGTCATATCCTATTAATATAGTGCTTAGATTATAGAAGAGTCTCTTGAATTGATTGTTGGAATCAAGTGTTTTGGTTTGCAAGGGGAGGTCCCAATGCAGCTGACTTTAGAGACTATCAAGGGACCAGATATTTATTGTAAACATCACACATTTCAGGATGGGTGAGCTTGTTTTAATACATGTGGGACAGCAAATTATTATGTAAGTTGGTGCTTCACATTGTGTGTGTGTGTATTTTTAAAGAATTATTTTATTTAATTTTATTTATTCATTCATTTACCTTAATTTGACCAGAGAGATAGAGAGAGGGAAAGTGAGAAAGCAAGCCACCAGGTCCGGAACTTGAACCGTGCTCGGCCATGTTGGAGTGTCCAGCGCCTTAACCACCACACCACCTGCTGGTCCCTCACACTTTGTGTTTTTATGGTTTTGAGGCCCACGTTCCTCAGTGATCAGGGATCATCACGTATGTCATGTCTCCTTGAAACAGAACAGTTGGCGTGTTGATCACAAGTTATTCATTTAATCAGGTCCCCCTAGACCTTTCTAGGCAAAGAACTCCCAAGAAATGAGAATTGCTGATAAAGACATGGCAATTCAGCTTTTTCCAAATTCAATGGAGACTCAAGGTCGATGGTCTTCCTGTCCCCAAAGGACTGAATTGGAGGTTTCACAGATTAAGTTATGTCTGTACTCTAAATAGGTATTTATTTTGATGGGTTTGATTGAAAAAAAAAATGGTCTTTGAAGAAATTACCTTCCGGGGATGAACCTGTGGCCTAGTGGTTAAAGAACGCCAGATCCCACATAGTGGACCATGGTTTAATTCCTGACCCCCAGAGGCTTGGAAAACATGCCGGGCACGTGTGTGTGTGCATAGCCCAGATCCCAACAGGGTGGAGAAAAGAGAGACTCCTCATGTGGGTGTTCTCTCCTTTTTCTCTCACTCTGGCCAGCACATGTGCCCTCTGGCAATTAAAAAAAAAAAAAGAAATTACATGGGAACCAGCAGTTAGCGTAATGGCTATGTCGCTGGACTCCCATGTAGTCGATCACGGTTCGCATCCCGGACCCGGTGACTTAAAACTCATGCCTGGCGTGTGTGCATGCGTGCCCAAGATCCCGAGAGGAGAATGGAGGAGAAGGGATTGCGGTGTGATCATCCCTCCTGGGGGGTGATTTCTTGCTTTCTGTCTCTATGTCTCTCTCTGTCTGTCTGGTGCACACATGTGCCCTATAGCGAAAACCTCTGCAAAAAAAAAAAAAAAAAAAAAGAAATTACATTGTAAAATGAATTTACCAGCTACACAAGATAGTCTTATTCTTTCAGAAGAATAACATCCAAGTTGATACTCCTCCCCCACCAATTTCAGCATTCAGACACTTGCCACGGTTGGCAAAATCACTAAAAGCATGTTTATAGCCCGTTCATGAATCAGAAAAAGGACACTTTTTATTCTGTGACAGATATAGATTAATGTCTTTGGGTTTTAAACAATGGTTATGACAGATCTTTTGACTGAGTAAACTTAATTTTTTAAAGAAAGGATTATTTAATTGTATTTATTATTATTATGTTTTAATTTGACCAGAGAGAGACAGAAAGCAAGCTGCCAGGTCCAGGACTTGAACTGTGGTCAGTCATGTGGGAGA